GTTGTAATTTATTATTATTGACTACATATAATATATTATATATATATATATAATATTTGAATTATAATTATTTTTATAATCTAAAATAATCAATGATACAATAATAATACAATTTAACGTTGCATAATATTTTAATAACATTGCATAATATTTGTATTTGTTTGTTTGTTTATTCATTTAAGCAGCTTAACTGTTGTTAATAACCTGCATAATGGCGCTATGTACTGTATATATTATTATGTATTATATCTCCACAAAATAAGTAATACATTTATCGAGGAAAAAAGTGGCCTCAAATGTCTTCAGTTCAGTAGTCCAGCAAAAACCGCAGTGCTCTTGCATACAGAATGCGCTAAAGGTCTTAAACACGATTTTCAATCAGGCGATTGGCTGCTGCCGAATTTAGCCTAGTGTGCTGTTTGGATACCTAAAAAATAGTACAACAATTTATTTTTGGGGTAGAAATAGTGATATACTTTGTTGCTGTCTTCATTCATTTTTACGTAGATGACAAAACATTGTAAACACGTTTCACTTCTCATTTACTTGAGTGTGTTTAACTGCACGTGAGACCCACCCAGATCATAATTACAGGAACATTAAGCTTATAAATGTGCTGTGAAGCAGCAGGAGAACATCAGCGCTTCACGCAACACCAAGAACCCAGCAGACCTACAGTCACACTACAACATAAGCAGAGAAAACGCACTAGGCCTATTGTTTATCATTCAACTTCATACGCTTTATATGAAGCACCTCCTTAAATTATAAGGTAATGCAAAGCTAGTGAATTTACAAAGAAAACTTGCAGGTGAGATGCGTAACATTCCTGATTTCCTACAATTTATCACAGTGGGTCAATGCTGTTTTTGTAGATGGGCTGGAATATGGCAAATCTGTCATTTAGCTGTAATCTGCAGGTTACAGCTTTTAAGTATCCGAAAATGTTGTGGCGACTGTCATCAGTGGAGCGGATGGCACACTGAACAGTTTCTACCAGACTGCGTTCCAAATTGTGTAGAGCCTACATTGATATTTGCATACTCAAATCCCTATCGGTTCCATTAAATGTATGTAAAAAATCGGGAAGTAGTGCTATACACTCTTGACGACGGCATTTATGTCACACACACTTTACTACTGTACGCATTCGCTAGTCTACGCGGACAAACTTTTAATAAGTTAAGAAATATTTTTAGGCTCACTCCTGCGTGTTTAGGTGCACAACTATTTTACTCGAGTCCTAAACTGAATTGCTTTTTTTTTTTTTACTACTGTTCATAGTAGGTGCGCTTCTTCATTTTGACCACCAGATGGCAGTAACTGTGCAGAAAAGCTTTGCTTAATGAATCCAAATTCAGCACGTTTGTATTGAAAGAGGCTGTGAGATAGTAAACTGCACTTGCAATTGGGTTAAAACATAATATTGTACCAAAACATTCAAAAGAAGGGAAAATACATTTATTCAAAGAAAAAGTTATTTAGCTAGTGATTTTGTTTCGTCAGTGCTTGAAGACCAGCTTTGCAGATGCTAGACCTGCCGGTGCTCAATATCTGTGGTCCGTCGGGGCCTGGACTTGTAGAGGAAAGTTTATAAAAACACAGGCTCTCATTCATAAGTAACATAAACAGCCTCATGGCCTCTAAACCCCTTCAAACAAGTGCTCACCCTGTCTCTTTTTCTGATTCTGACTTTAAGTTGAGATCCTTTATGTCGTATTATCTTTGTTAGTCATCGCCTCAAAACACTTTAATCAAAGTAGACCTTTAAATTACAGTATCAAACCCCAAAAGGCCAGAATAAAAGGATTGATTAAGTGACTGGGTCGTAATGTTCACCTTAAATGATTACATTCTGGCATTCCAGCTGCTACCACATCCAGAAAATATTTCACGCTGTTCTGGCCTCAGAGAGCAGTGTGTTTTGTGTGCCTCAGCTATGGTGGTCACTGTTTAAATCTGTCAGGATGGGGTATGTTGTTTATACCTCAGTGTCAGCTGTGGTAAGCAAACGATGAGCAAGCGCAGTCTCCATTTTGGTCTGGATGTTAAATTGTTTGGAATTGAAAAACAATGCTCTGTCTTGTTTTCACAAGAATTCGGTTGTTGACATTGAGACCCCAGCGTCCTCTCCTCATCTTTAGCTTTATGAGATTTGTGAAGCTTGGCTGAAAACAAGCACTAAAGTTAACAAATCATCAAAGCGATACTGGAGTAATGTGATGAACTTCACAGATGAATCTCACGAAGAAATCTCTGGGTCATATCTCACCCCAAAATCAAAAGAAATAATAAGAAATTATATTTTGCATACATAAAACAAACCCTTTCACTTAATGTAATCTTGAGTGAAATTAGCACATTTTCTTCTGTAATTCTCATTACTGAAATAAAAAAAAAAAAATCTTATCATCATTATCATCCTGTGTGGACACAATGACACTTTATAAATTAAGTGATTTTTAAAGAAAATATTAAAATAATAAAATTAATTTAAATGTAAAAATGTTGTCCTTTTGAATGTTTTATTCATCAGAGAATTCAGAAAAAACGTGCTGCTATGTAAGCAGCTCTCTGACTAGAGTTATGAAAATGTAGCTTTGCATCACAGAAATAAATTGCACTGTAAAATATATTAAATAAAAAACAGTTATTTTAAATGTAAATAATATTTTACAATATTTCTGTATTTATTATATTTCTAGTCAAATAAGTTCAGCCTTGGTAAGCATAAGAAAAAAAAAAAATTGTAAAAAATCTACTGAATGATATATATGTGTGTGTGTATATATATATATACAGTGGGTACGGAAAGTATTCAGACCCCCTTAAATTTTTCACTCTTTGTTATATTGCAGCCATTTGCTAAAATCATTTAAGTTAATTTTTTTTCCTCATTAATGTACACACAGCACCCCATATTGACAGAATATACACACATTATTTCCACAAAATATCATTTTGTAATTCTTCCTTTTGACTTTGGGCTGAAATATGAGATTCACTCCTACATCCCGGTGTCCTAAATTTTATTCTACGATGGCAGGAACGTGGCACACAAATCTGTTTGGCGTCACTCCGCAGGGCAAACATATTGATCTGTGGAAACCACTAGCTAAATTATCAACAACTGACAGGCAACAGAGATCGAGAGCAATTGTTGGAGGCAATATTTCCAGTGTTTTAACATTTCAGAGAGGGACTCGGCCAACTGAAATAAACACCCAATCAATTGAGCTCACAAGATTTTAGCCGTGCTGTTTTTTCCCCTTAATTTCATTCCCACAGTCTCTTGATGCTATTTTCATGTATCATCTACAATCGTAACATAATGTTTTGCCTATGAAAATGCCAAGGTGCTTTCCAATGGGAATTTTCATTGGATGGGTTTGAAATTAAAAGCTCTTGTAAAAACTATTGTGTGCTCTGCTATGATGAGGAGTTATTTGGTTGCCATGGTGAAGGAAAGCTCGTTATTTTTAATGGTTCTACGCTCGGTGCTACAGAGCCTTAAGCAATGGCACTGACAAACTGCCAGCCTCAGCAAATGCTCTGTGTGGGGCATGTTATAAGAGTGAAAGCGCCATACACACACTCACATACATACCTGCGAAGTGCGAACGCTGGCACACGTAGACATCTTCAACAGAAATCACCTCCAACAGTCTGCCCTCTTCTGGAGGTGGCCTGTAAACAAACATATTTATTAACCACCTTCAGCCCACAGATCAGATTTTGTATCTAACTATAATTGATTGTATGAGATCTTGTCATTTAGGCTGGAGGACAGAAGGAACAGCTGGGATGGAGACTTGTAACAGAATCAGGGAATAATAAATGTCTCTCAGCTCCACCCTCAGCAGGAGACACGTCCATCCATCACTGCCAATGAAAGATGGCCAGAAAGCCCTGCAGTCTTCACTTCTCCATTTTTTAAATCCATCTTTCCTCTTATCCTTATCTTACTGTGATTTTGCCAAGTACGACATGTTCCTGGATTAATATTGTTGATACTGGAACAACATTTCTTAGTTTGAACCAAAAAGATTTTAGTAATAGCTCCATAAAAGATGACAAAGCACCAGAATGTAGCATAAAGACCATCCTTACTGCTATGTTTAGGATAGTTTTGTCATCATTTACTCACTCTCCACTTGTTCCAAACCTGTATGAGTTTCTTTCTTTAGCTGAGCACAAATGAAGATATTTTGAAGAATGTTGGTAACCAAACAAGTCTCCGGTAGCCACTGACTTTCATAGTACTGTTTTCCATACTATGGAAGTCAATGGCTACCAGCAACTGTTTGGTTATCAACATTCTTTAAAATATCTTTTTTATGTTGAAAAGAAGAAGAATTTTCATTTTGGGGTGAAGTTAGAGCCAGACACTTTTTTGAGAAATCACGTTTTTGTTTACTGGAGACTACTGGCAATTTTTTATATACCATAACTGTCAGATTTTATGTTCTGTTTAACATATATTTAAAAGTGATCTGGAAAAGATGCCAGCAACTGTTTGGTTATCAATGATCTTTACGATGTTCTTTTTTGCGCAACAGAACAGGTTTGGAACAACTTGAGGGCAAGTAAATGATGACAGATTTTTCTTTTTTGGTTGAATTATCCATTTTGAAACCACATGATAGCTTTGAACAGATCAAAATGTAAGACAGGCCTAGCACTGATACTGGGAAAATGAAGCTGATTAACGCTCAGTCCTGTTAGAGCTATGTTGATTTATACATCCGCCTTATACTGAAGCATAAATTCATACTCATAACACAGGTCTATTTCTGTGCACATATGCTGCTTCAGTGAAACAGGCTTGATGCATTAGCTCTGGAGCTGTCTGATGGGTGCTGGGAAGGATCTGACCTGATGTCCCTTCAGCAGGAGGAACGGTACAGGTCACACTTGCTGCCCGTTGTTGCTCATGCTCCAGTTCACCAGAAAAGTGGGCAGAAAACATGAGTCGATGTACTAAGCAAACAGAAAGATGGTCTTCATGTGCTTTTAAGTATCACAGTTCTCTGATATTTACACACATGATGACTTCTCTCCAATGCATGGCCTGATGGGCAAAGCGTTCAATGCATTCACGCTTCCGAATATCTGCAGAACGAGTAAGTTATTCGAGTATTTTCACAATTTTATGAATATTGTGTATTCAGATGAATCATTCAACATGCTAATTTTCACACACTATATAGTATAGATGACATATTTGGACTTGGGCTAAGTAAACAATTTCTTTTTTAGATGTTTTATTATCTGCCAGGGCAGAAAATTGTAAGTCTGAAAAGTAACAGCATGACTTTTGTTGATTGCTGCACAATTTGAGATGTCATTGATGTCCATAGCATAAACGCTAAAGGTGCAGTCACATTTAGCATTGTTTTTGCAGACAAATTCCAGTCATTTCATTAGGAATCCACACAACTGAGAAATTAGCGTGAAGATTTCCCCATATATTTTCCTCAACATCAGGTTCAAGTTGGTCACATGGATCCACCGCACTGACCAGCTGAAAGTTGTTCGGTTTGACAGTGAATTTTCCTTACAAAATTTCACAGAAAATCCACTAATGTGACCACACCTTAGCCCTATGAGAAACAGTGATAGTCTTGTTTGTCTTAGCAGCCATGACTACCCTGTTGGGAAAAAAAAACAGTATGCTGGTTAGATACGTTTTGAAGTATGGTAGCCGGTTTGAGCTGGTTTAAGCTGGTCCTTAGTTGGTCACGAGCTGGTTTAAGCTGGTCATGTGCTGGTCCTAAGCAACTAGCTCCTGCTCAGGACCAGCTCATAACCAGCTTATAACAAGCTCAGGACCAGCTTAAACCAGCTCATGACCAACTAAAGGCCAGCTTAAACCAGCTGCCATGCTTCAAAACATACCTAACCAGCATATGCTGTTTTTTTTTTCAACAGGGTAATAATATTTAAAAAGGGTTTAGAACAAAACAAACAGACTCATAAACCTAATTCACCATTGAAAAACTGCAAAACTTGCAGTTACCCGTCAAATATCAGTTATCGAAACACACTGGTTGACTTGACTTGCTGACAAGTTCAAGATAAGAGCACAATGATGCACTGGTTATCACTCAAGTGCATCCGCATTTCATTCTCCATCAAAACGATTCAAGAAGGAAGATGGAGATTGGATAAACGCATATCTGGGCCACACATGAAGAAAGTGGTTTCACTTCAGATGTATCAGCTGATAAGATCTGTCCTTACTGTGACTGGGTCCTCTTACCGCTAAAGAGACACTCATCTAGCGCTATTGTTGAGCCGCTATCAGCTTTACACTACTATTTTGCTCTGAGCAGCTGCGGTCAATGTACCTTCAGCGTCCTTTTGTTGCGGCCTTTCAGAGCAGCAAAAGAAGACTGGAACCAATATCTATTGGAATCATCCTAAATATTTTAGTCTCTCCAGGTTAATGTAGGTCCTATGAAAATAACTCTTTCTGAAGAGATGGGGCTTTGCGTTAACTAGCGCCATGAACGCCACACATGACGATTAAAGAGCTAAAGGTGAAGTTTCCGTTTGATGTGGGGAGACAGAGACAATGATACTCATTATCGCTGGCGCTGCAAATGTCTCCACCTCTGGATTGGATCAGGCGCTAACAGGTTGACATGAGGGTAATTTCAAGCTCATCTGGGGTAATTGAAGAGCAGCCATATAGACCAGATTTATAGGCTACATTTTATGGCCAGATGATAACTTTCTCTCATCTGCTGCACTGTGGGACTGTTAGGCTTGGCTCTTTGCCTTAAATTAAAGGAGGTTTGGAAGAATGAGAATAAAAATACAACTCTAAACCACTGACATCAAATCCTGATCTGTGAGGTCTTATGGGGTCAACGCCAAAACCGATGTCCCATGATAAGAACTCATATGCCAGAACTAATTTTAATGCTCTTTTCTGAGAACTGACAAGGATAAACATTGGTAAAGCTTTGCGATCTTCTTGTGAAGATGATTCAATTCCAGTTGGGAGGGTCACATGTAATTTCACACTACATGGGGAAAGTTGTCACAATGGAACCTGCCAATAACAGTTAGACTTACTGAACTATATTCATTTTGGAAACTTTCCTGTGTGACAATTAGCCTTTTTCCTGCATTTCTCATGACTGGAACAACTGCAGAGAGAGGAATCTAGAGAAAAGTACAATTATAAATCATATTTTTATTTTTTCTTCTTCTTCTTCCAAATCACCTCAATCCAGTAATGAAAAGCTGTCTAATTGTAGTGTCTGAAGCGGTCGAACAGGGAAACGAAGCGTATGTGTATTGGTTGGCCACCATAGCGACCGTCCGAACAGAAGAAAAAATGAATTACCTCCATAAGTACATTTAACTAAAGAGATAATTGAATCTTGGCTTAGGCCTTTGAACAGCATGGCTCTTAGCAGAGATTGTTATCTATTGGGATATGGATGGATCTCAAATGCTTATTGAGCTGTTTTAAAAGGGGAAATCCTTCAAACTGATGTAGACGCTGACAGACATGAACAAAACACTGTGGTCCTTCTAGATTACTGACTATAAATATAAAATAGTTGTGTGAAAACACAGTACTTTTAAAGCACAAATGACATAACATCTGACAAGATGGGAAGTTAAATGATATATATCACAAACAATTACAAAGAAATGGCAAACAACACCAAAGAAATTTTAAACTAGGAAATTGATATGTTTTTATTTAAATCTAGTGTTCTGCACATGTCTAGTGTTCTAAACTGTGATAGGTAAGTTTAGGGGTATGGGTTGGGTTAGGTGAAAATAATGAAAATATCATTAACTGATAGAAAATCAGTCTATGTGGTGTGTGTGTGTGAGAATGTACAGTCAGTTGATTATAATTGTAAAATAAAATCCTTTAGGGTCATACAAGACCCTGTTGGGGTTTATTTTGCAATAATGAATAGGCGACAGTACATTATCCCTTACATATTTAGTAGTGTGGAATGTACTAAATATTACAGAAAGGCTAAATGTGACAGAAAAACATACACAAATGATGTCTGTGTGAATAAATATGTTCTAATGTGTCCATCTTTGACATGCAGCACAGTCTCTCACTCAAACGACAGTGTGACCATTATCTCCCCTCCGCATTAAGCCAGTGCACCAGGCATCAATTCAATACAAAGCCTTACGCCCTATATATCTGGCCTGGATCAATGCATTGACTCTTTATGCACTCACAAAAGCAGAAAGGATGAGAGTGGAACAAACGGCCCACATTCCCACGCAGTCACTTGGGCATCCTGTAGGACAGCACGGGGTCCTGACGCACGTGCATCTGCTCACACGCCCAACCGACACAATCAGCCTGCGATCTCATGACCACGAGACGTGTTTGAAGCAGTGCCGCCGGAGATGACACGACGACGAGATCTCTGTGAGAAAAGGTTGGAATGAGTCCCTGAGGAGAACAGCTGAGGAAGGGGAATGCTTTGTACAAGATACAGGGATACAGTGATATACTTGAACATGTGACAGTGCTATCCACACAAAGGTCATGTTTATTTGATTTCAAATACACAGAGAGCATTTTATTGACTATTTATAGGTGTTTCTGATGTTTCTACAGGCTGTCAAACTCCAAAAAGGACAAAAATCATTGTAAAGCACTGAATATGCCTCATCATATGAATGAGCATTAAATTCTGAATTTAAATTATTTTTGACATTTTTGGGGGCATAAAGTCAAACATGTCAGATAAAGAAAACAAAACCCTCATTAAATCCATGAAAAGCACAAGTACACAGTCAAAAAAAAAAAAAAAACGAAATATATATATATATATATATATATATATATATATATTGTTGTGAATAAATGATTAGAGTACATTTTACAAGAAAACATTCTTTCAGTTTTTATACTTCATAATTTCACTTTTAATTCAATGTGTTATTTGCCGTTTCTTTGTAATTGTGTGTAAAATTACTAGCAAGTTCTTAATAAAAAGTTTCTACACCAATTTTTTATAGTCTACACTATAAAAATATTTTTTGCAGTGGTAAAACAAAAACAGTGATTATATGTTTTACAAGAAAATACTATTTCTAGTATTTTCTACTTAAAATATTTCATGTTCAATTGTGGTTTCTTTGTATTTCTTTGTGTAATTTACTAGCTATTTCTGCGTGAAAAGTGTTTCAAGTGTTTCAAGTGAATCCTACACCTTTTTTTTTCAGTGTATTGAATAATAATAGTATTTTAACAGAACTGCTTCACTGCTTATTATTATTTTAATAATCTGACTTTTTGACAAGACAAGGTTAGTTCAGGTTGTAAAATGTCATGTGGTGCAGCTGCTCGAAAAATTTATAATTACTGATATTTGTAAAATGTACTATTGACCTGGTATTTTTTATTTTTTTTACAGTAAATAAGATGTGTACACTCAAACTTACCATTTTTGGCTATAACAAATCTTTTGCATTCCACAGAAGAAATAAAGTCATACAGGTTTGGAACGACATGAGGGCGAGTAAATTATGACAATTTTCATTTTTGGGTGAAATAAGGCTCATAAGTCAGTGTTAATGGCATATACGAAATGAATGTAATGTTAGAGAATAAAACCACATATTGCGTCACAAAATTTCCTCAAACAGATGCAAATAGACAGAGGCTTGAAAACTAAGTACTTCAATGCAACATTCTCATAAAAGGTCTCCACAAGCTAATGAGTTTGCCTCTCTTGTTTATGATCTGTGGCTGGACTCAAGCTTGAATCCATTACAGCAAAGACGCAAAACCCACAATTAAAGCCATGCCTTTCAAATTCGTTTACGAATCACAAGAAACCAGGTGATCCACAGCATATGTATCAAAGAAAAGACTAGATCCAAAATAAGACTGACCTAACTGAGTTTTCTATATCAGTACCTTTTTATTTAAGTGTTTCACTATGATTTTAAATTCTGCATTGGAAGATTTGCTTAATTAGATCACAGTTTATCCAGCAATCGAGTCCCGTGTTTAATTCAGCCCAGAAAGATTGGATCATTATGTTGACTGCAGTAGATTAAACACATGTGTGTAAATGATTTTTGATGATTGCCATTAAGAAGTACATTGACGGGGTGATTAAATAACGCTTACATGAGTTATGAAAGGTTAACTTCTAAGGGGGAGAAAAAACTGTTTTTTTTTATACTAAACCTGTTGTGGTGGGCTTGTGTATTACCATCAGAGCAACTCACCCTCAAGCTCAGCTCAAGTGCCTTGAAACTGCTAAACAATGAGCCAGGTTGTGCTTGCTGCTAGCAGATTTTGAGTAATGCGCCTAAATTAACATGTGATAGTGATTTAATGCTCAACACTTTCCCAGTGTGTGTGAATGGCCTAGTGGACTTGCACAAAAGCAGCTTCATGGATCAGTCATTAGCACACCATTACGGTTGCTTTTATGGGCGCTGTCAGCCAGTCCCCATTATGAGCTGAAGTGAAAGGAGGAATCAATCTAAGGAGGAAAACGCTTTTTCCTGAATCAAAGCAGACATTTATCTGAGTGTCCAGAAAGAGCTGCAAGTTAACAGCTTAATCTGAATGTCATTTGTCCATATTCACAGAGAAACTCTTTCTATTCCATATTGTCACAGAAATACAATGGCATCCATTCTGAGAATCTGACAGTCTGAGAAGAGATTGTAAAACAACAAAAATTAATACTTTTGAATTATATTTTGGTGCAGCCAGTTACCCAGCATGCCTTGCAGCAGGCTCTGAAGAGATTGAGTTCGGACTGAATTCTCGCGTTACCGACCTAAAAAGTGTAAAACGAGTTTGTGGTGGTGTTTATAGGAATCTGTATTCTAGAATTTGCTGTATTTTTGCAGGATGCGTTTATGTGGTTACCCTCATTTAAATCTACAGTGCCAAAATTGTAGTGCTGGGTTGTCATTCATTCATTTTATTTTAATAATCTCATACTGATGATATCATTAAAATATTCTAATTTTATTTTGAGGAATATGACATCACAAAAAAAATATCTTTTGTATGTTTTAATATTTGTATGTACTGTATATGGTACGAGCTGTTTTGTTGAGTAATCATATTTAAATCATCTGATTCAGTTCATGTTGTTTGAGTATATTAGTGTGTTTTTCAGGTAATGTTATGAATGAGTTAGCTGTAGTTGCTTAGATTATTTTTATAGCATTTGGTGTACGAGTAATGATGGAAAAAAGTGAGCTTCTGAAAAAATTGTTTTAGAGAAAGAAAAGAATGAATAATACTTTTGGAGCTTTTAAAAAAAGTTTTCCACCTGAAGAAATAGGCTTGTTTGAGATGCGCCTCGCCTTGCCTGAAATGTAGGTGAGAGTAGGCGGCTGCAGTGAGGGGAGGAGTGAAATAAGCGCAGTCAAGTGCACAATCCGACACAGCCGCCTCGCCGTCGCGAGAGTTTTTCTGCACACGTCAGCATGTATTATAAATAAAATTATTAATATAAATTATATTCATCATTTGTCTTGTATGAAATTATTTGTTTTACAATAACAGCTGTGTTTGGTTTATATTATCTTAACATGATCTGGTATTATAGTTATTTTTAGTACATTGTATATTTAATTTATACACTTATAAAATATTATTATTTGTAAAATCATGTTTGTTCCATTAAGTAATATTTTAAGCGTAAGTAGTGGTAAGACATGTTGGCGTTAAATATCATTAAATATGAAGTGCATGAATAATTTGTATTCCTTCATTCATTTTGTTTTTGTTTTGTGTTTTTATTAAGAGAGCTTGGCTAATTAGGCTAATTAGAGATAATTAGCCTAATAAAAACTAATTTTTCTATTAAACACACCTGTTTACCATTAAAACTGAACCTAAATTATAAAATCACCTTGAGATCATTTAAAACCTTTAGACATTGGTTTATAGGTTTGTGATATCAATGGCCTCTAGGAGTGAACCATCAACATTTCAAAACAGTATGATTTAACATCACATCACATGACTTGGTCAGTTTGATACGTGCTCTGAAACACAGATTTGAAACAAAATATTTGTAAATGTTTTTTAAGCTTCATTAATTAGTTTAGAAAAAACATGTTTTTCAAAAGATCACACAAAATCAGTCAAAACAATATATTAGACATCGGTACATGGGTTCACATTAAGGTCATCGCCACCTAGTGGCAAATAATAAAAATTATAAAAAAAGCTTTGAAACAATATAACATAACAAAAGCTGATTTGCTGAAATCACATGACTTGGCCAGTTTGATACGCTGTAAGCCCTAGTCGTAAATAGTTTCGAAGCTTCATGGAGCAGTGATTTGAAAGTGCACAACACTGGAAAAATGGAGCTTTTTAAAAGAATTTGAATTGGAATCAATTGTACCGATTCCTTCACAAAACGACTCACTATTTCGAAACACTCAAAACACCACACACTAGCGAAACCTGCTGGTTAAAATGTGCAAATTCAATGAGAACTCAGCCCAAACATATAATTATTTTACAAACCACTTGCAAATGTCTTCATGAAAGTATAATCTATTAAATTAAAGCTACAAATCATTAAATACCATTAAATATGAAGCTGTATAATTTGTGTTCTTGCAGTGCTTGTTTAGAGTGTTTTTAGAAGGTCTTGGCTAATCAGGCCAAGTAGAGACAATTAACTATCAATTCACTCTCCTTTTTTCATTATTCACATGTGTTTGTCATTAAAACTGACCTACATTTTAAAACTGACACGAGATCAGTTAAAACCATATGTTAGAAATTGGTGCACTTTGGGATCAATGCCCCCTAGTGGCAAACGATCTAAATTATAAAACGTTCTGAAACGTTATGACGTAACAAAGTCTTGTTTGCTGGCATCACATGATTTTGCTAGTTCGATACGCACTGCGAAACACTGATTTGAAACAAAAGTTATAAAAGCTGCAGAACTTCATGAAGCAGCGGTTCAAAATGGCCCAGTACTAGAAAAACTGAGCTTTTCAAAACTGAATCAATCGTACCAATGCTTCACAAAATGACTCATCGTTTCAAAGCGCTCAAAACCTGCTGGTCAAAACATGTAAATGCGATTACCAATTTAGACATTGGTTCATATCAAGGTCCAAGGCCCCCTAGTGGCAAACCATGTAAATTATAAAAAGTTTCGAAGCACTAGGATATAACAAAGCCTTGTTTGCTGAAATGGCCAGTTTAATACGTTAACTTGGCCGGTCTGATACATGTTTTGAACCAATGGTTCAAATAAAACATTTATGTTTTTAAAGCGTTATGAAAAAGTGCTTTGAAAGCGCCCACTGTTAATGCATACAGTGGATGCAACATAAAATGTGGGTGCTGTTGTCATTAAAACAAACAATTCAAATTATGCTCAACATTTTTGCATTTCATTTTAAAAAGAATGCAAAATAGAAGCATTTTCACCATCAATCTCAAGCATTTTGGATCCACTGCACATCCTCCACTACGTGAGCCAATAAACCCTCTTTCACTACTGCAAGTATTCATGGATATTCTCAGATGGTCTACCCAAAAATTCCGGATGACTTCACATTTCCATTCTTGCAACATAATTGCCATATATCAGCAAACGGAGGAAGCACATGCCACAACAGAACAGCAATCTGTCTGTCCACTGCAGAGCCAAATGATAATGGCAGCATGTTTCGTATTTCAGGCCTCTGAGAACATGCAGCTACATCTGTGATCAGAGCTCCACTCACACGATTCGCTTTGGCTCCAGGCATCCATTCCGTGTCAGACGTGAATCGAGGGTCAGTTATTTAGAAATGTAATAAAGAGGATCTGTCTTTAATTAAATATACCCATCAAAGCTTTGAGGTCTAGTACCTGGGTTTTGTTCCCAGAATGCACTCTGGCATGTTATGTGTATTTATTATTTCAGTTAGCTTTGGAGACACTGCACTGACCTCCAGCCACAGAGTGTTTTAATGTCTCACAGAGATCCAAGTATAGACTAATTAAACACAGAGTGGTTGGTCACTTGACTGCATCAGGAGGCGAAAGCTGCTTCGAATCCCTGTGGCAATATTTTATTTTTATCTCTTGCAGACAAAAGGAAGAAAAGATGGTGCTATTCTGCCTGTGTTCACATGACAAAGACACAAAATGACATCTTGCCTGCACTGTGGAAAAACTTATAACGGCAACTGATGCTCATCTTTCTTTCAACACAGTCTTTTGTCAGATTACATTAGTTGACTGTAGATCTGAATAATCTACTCTCATATGCAATCTTTAAGAATATGTACTCAAAAAATGCTGTTACTTTTGCAATTTACTTAATTTGTGTTGAGATTACATAAATTGCTTTAACTGAAATTGGGAAGTGGGTTTCTAGTTCCCATCATGCTTTCCCATCATGTCATATCCCTTTTAAGTTTTGATGAATATTAAATTGATTACATAGCTGGATGCTCTTGTAGAGGAGTGAAGCTACATCAATATTACCCAAATACCCAGCATGCTTTGCATGGGACTAGATTGAAAGAGTAAAAATTTAAATTAGGCGTTATTTAATGTGTTTTTGACAATAATAAGAAAAGGAGCAGACTTGTTAGTGTTTAATGCTCTGATATGTCAGGATTTAGAAGAGTATTTGTTAAGGTTGTGGGGGGATCACCATTGTGCTGAAGATTTGTGCTCAAATTGAGGATGGGTACATAACAACTATCACTTAAATCAGGGATTCTCAAATCTGGCCCACGAGATCCACTTTTCTGCAGAGTTTTAGCTCTAACCCTAATCAAATACACCTGAGCATACTAATCAATGAGTTTGATCAGGGTTGGAGCTAAATTCTGCAGCGCATTTAGATTTGAGGAACCCTGGCTTAAATGAATGATTACTGATTTAAATCTGCTGTTAACAGCTATATTTAATATTCTGTCGTCTGACATGTCTGTTTCTACATCTTCAAGCATGGACAAAATGCTCTAGTTCCTCAACTCAAAAACATTCACTTAAGAAACTATCGGCTTTGCATGCAAACTGTAAATGTGATTAATGCCAATTAAAGCACATAAGGTAATGCGTCTGTCCTAAAGGAACTAAATGACATTAACTGGCTCCATATCATGTCTGTACAGTGTAAGCCACTCACTTTAATGCATCTATTTGCATAACGTGCTGCAAATTCCCCCGTGTGGGTGTCTGTCTTATCTGCTCTAACCTTGTAAAAGGTTGTCAGCTCTTTGAACATGCTTACACCCAACAAAGGCATTCATGAATCTGAATTAATTTAACTTGAATTTAGCTGATTGATGCGAACATGTACCTACAGATACAGCATATTATGATGAGGCAGCTGCCCATAATGAGCTTAAGCGGACTATCCATACTAAGGTTACAACATATGCCTCTATTATACAGCAAATAGAAAAAATCAGACAAAGACTGAAATTATAATTGGAGAAATAAGGCTTAGATTTCACGACTACACAAAATATAAATATATATATATATATATATATTATATAGGAGTTTATACATCATAATTATATAAATATAAATAAATAATAAATAATATATAAATATATATTTCAAAACTTAAATTAATGGTCATTTCCTTATAAATAATTATGTAAATGTATTTATTCATAATAAATATGTATTTTAAAAGCATGATACAACATGTTGGATTTCAAAAATTTGGTGAAAATAATATTTAATAACTGGTTTCAGTAATGAATTTCCTATTCCTATTATTAAAAGAAACTAGATACAACACATTTCAATATTTATTGAATTTAATTTAATTACCCATGTGTAATAAAATATATACATATTCTAATTCAAACCTTCCAAATTATTTTCTACATTTTCCTGATTTTAACACCAATTATGGAGATTGATCTTTTGTAACAACCTACTAATAATTGAATGCTGAAATATTCCTTTTCAGTTATTATGATTACTACAAAGATTATGTGATCCGATGCTCTTGGAAGGTTGCAAAACTACATCAGCATTTTATAATCCAAATTCATTAGGTTAAATTTTCCATAATAACTGCAGGCGGTGTACTTGAACATTGTAGATTTCACTCAAATCAGCATATTTTCAGAACTTTAAAAAAAAGGAATAGGTCTACTGTACTGTTTGTGGATAACAGGCAATCTGAGTGGTTAAAGAGAACAACCAAACTCACCAAATACTGTGAAATGATGCCACAAATGCACACAGTGTCCCATCATAAAACAGAGAAAAGCATGACAATCTACAATAGCATAAAAGAATTCCACATATATGTTTTAAGTCCAAGCACTATGGGCCATTGAAAAAGGAGGCCATATGTTCTGGATTAACAATCAAAGTTTATGCAAGAAAAAGCGCCATTATGTTCAATTTGTTTGCCAATTAGTTTCTGAGGCAAACCCACTCATCAGAATGGAAAACCTGAGCAGGTCAGACCTCTGAGAGGCCCTGCGCTCATAGTCACCCAGTAAGTCTCGCCCTTGACCTCGCAGAGCAAGGGATTGTGGGTAGGCCACTTTTGTTGAGGATGCCCCATCCCCTCCCCCCTGTGGATTTGCAAATGGCTGACAGAAGGAGATTGATTGATTGCAGTGAGAAGTTAATCTGTCCCAGGACCCGTTAAGCACACGGCTTCCCAGCACACTGGGGCGGCTCTGAATCAAGAGGGCCATCTACAGATTGCAGGGCAACATTGGTGCAATTGGAGGCTGACCTTTCTGAGTGTCCTACACAGTAATAATCAATACCGTCCCCTGCCTTACTACAGGACATAAGAGATGATGAATTCATTATCAATTGACTTCCTTTTGTGGATTAGTCAGACAGAAGAGGGAAACATAGAGGATGAATCTTAAGGGATCCGAAAGGACACTTCCACTTAAATAGTACAAACCAACCGGTGTTGCCAACATGGACATTTATTATGCTACTATGCTGCAGTATATTAACCATACTAATCATACTAATGCTATTATGTTTATTAATCTGAATTATTTGCAAATGTTCTTGTTCTAAACCTACCTTCTCAGGCTCAGATGGATGATTAATTTAAAAAAGGAACGGAGTGGAGAAAAAGGAGACTTTTAGTCCATGTGTGTTAGCTTTGAAGTCATCTATATGCTGGAGTATTCCAAAAAAAATGAAAATGTCCCTGCCTCTAATACCACCTGCATGTATGTGTGGTAACTAAAGCCTATTGGATATTTTTTCGCTGTTCAGTAAGTCCCGCCCAAACATCCTGTTTCGGGTGGAATTATTATGAATTGTTGTGATCCATTTGGTTTATAGTAAAATATACTGTACATATTCCTTTTTATCAATGGACAATATCAGTTGTCCTTGTGGGCAACGCTCTGACATGCAGTGCGGTTGCAACATGGATGACCTGACATTGAATCTCGGTTTGTGGTCTTTTCCAATTTGGGCCCACTCTTTCTCTCTCACTTTGTTTCCTACTGTCCTATCTGTATAAAAGAGGCAAAAAGTGCCCAAAAACAAGTAACACAACACATTTAAAGCCTGAGAAATGATGCATATGAAAGATAAAAATGCTAAACAGATGCACATTAAGCATCTGTACTGGTTAAATGCACATTTGGCCACATAATTAAAATGACTTGACACTAATCATACATAATAACCATTTTTAAAACTGCTACTATATTAGCATGATTTTTATTTGCACATTCTTCCACAAAGAGCAAGTATGTGATACGTTGGTGCTGGGATGCTATACTGTGATTAAAGAAATTGTGAAAAAGAAGTGCACTTAATTGTATTGAATGTGCACTTAATGTACTTCAAATCTCCAAATATAACTTGAAGGTAATATAATATTAATAAAATAAAAGACCACTCTACATGTCCACCATGCTTTTATAGTAAACTGTAAAATCATCCTTATAGGACAAACATCAGGAAAGAAAACTCGTCAAGTCATTGCAATGAATTTGGAGCGACTGCTCTTTTTTTTTCTTTACGTATGTCAGTTGTCTGGCATCCTTGGACTCTATCGTGATATGAGCCAGTGCTTTCATACCGTCTCTCTGTCATTCCCTCTTCACTAAAACTATTCTTCATGGAGAAGCTGAAAAAATCCCCCCTCATGTAATCAGTCATGTCGTCTGTTCAGCTGCCAGACGTGAGAGCCATGAGCACTTAGATCTCTATCTCTGTTAGAGGCTCTTCTCTCTTTGCAAAATGTTCTCTCTTCTTCACCGAGCACTATGCACGCCGCAGCCCTGTTTACTCTGCTTTATTCGCCCTCTTCAGACAAATCTCCCTGAATGAAGCGGAACGCAAACTCATCAGAGGTCCTGTCACCCAATTTTGGATAAGATAGATCAGTCCTATCTGCTCATCTCGGGTGGATGTTCCCTGCCGTGCTGTGGGCTTCTGAGGGCCGGGGTGTATTTTCTAGAGGGGGGCCGGTCAAATATTTAGTCTCAGTGCTGTCAAAACACTTTGGCAGCTGCTTCCCACACTAAAGTCGAAACCTCATCGAACTCATAAATCACATGAGCCGTGACACAGGTTTGTGGTACGCTGAAGGCCATTTTTCAGCTCAGTACTAGGAGTTTCTTTTCCTTTGACATAAATCTCAGTTCATTCTTCTGTGACAGACAGCTTAAAGAATATCTTGACGTTGTTGGTTTTTTTCAGTCCAGCTTATAGCTTCCCTCAGCCGTTTATCCGGTAGGTCTAGAAACGTTCCAGCGTACCGTCATAAATTTCAAGGGGCAAAAGTAATGTTTTATTCAGAAGGAAGAGCATGCATTGCAGATGCTCATAAATTTCTCAGGATTTATCCAGATAGTGGAAAGATTTTATTAAAAGTCAGGAAATTATTTGCTTATTCTTGCCCGGAAAGTTTAATTTCCTTCTAGCTCTGATACTGTTATTAAATCTAATCTGTGCGTTTTCAAGAAGTCAAGTTTACATTTTTGGATTATAAAGCTGAGGTAGTGAATGTCAAAATGTGCATTCACGTAATCCCACCAGTCATAATGATAATTGCATATAAACAGCCACTTACCTCATTCCTTCCGACTATTATTTGGTCAAACCTCCATCCCAACATCTTTTTTTTTTCAGAGAAGTTTAATTTCCTTCCAGCCTTAATAGTATAAATGATCACAATCTGTGGTTTTAAAAGAGCTAAAGATTGTGTTTGTGCATTATCAAGTTGATCTCGCAATGCATCTGAAATAATTATGCTGATTACTCGCTAACATGCATTAATGCATATGCACACACAAACACTCACACTGCCTCCATTCGTGTATTAACTCGCTGCATATTAAAGTGACAGCAAAAATGTATGATTGAAGTGTGTCTAAGGCACTGATGGTCTGTGATGATTCAGCTGCCGGCGGTGTTTGTCCCAGTTTACCTCAGCTTGAACCTAGATCAGGGCAAAATCATAAGTGTAACTGCCCCATAACCATTCTGACACAAACAAGCACATCAAGCAACTCTTTTAAGGAAGCGACTATTACACACACACACTGGAATGAGGAATTATATTTAATGATAATAAAAAATAGATGAAGAATATATGTATATGGAACTAAAAGTATGAACCCAATTCAGACATTTGGAACGATAAGAATGAATGAATGAATGAATAGCATTTTATTTAATCAAGATCCATCCAAATTAAATAGGCTAAGAGTCATAATTAAAAAAATAAATATCATTTTTTTAATTTAATTTAAGTTCCAATCATAATTAAATAGGCTCAAAGTTAATGAATACTTTCCATTCAATAATCATGTATCTTAATCAAAGATTATCAATAGGATTTTGAATACAGCAAGTAAATAAATAAATAAATAAATAAATAATATTTATTTATGTATTTATATATCATAAGTTGTATTCAAAATCCTATTGATAATCTTTGATAATTAAGTTACATAATTAATTAAGTTACATTATTGAACAATGATTGATAAGTTACTTGATTGAATTTTAAGTATTTGTCTATATACTTCTAAACATCATCTAACCTGCATCTCCTCAAACCCACACTGCTATACTGAGCATTCACTGAAAAAAAAGGTTTCTTTCCATGTTCCTGATCCTAAATTAGTCTTAGTCACTGCTTTCCCATGTCAGGATAAACTCTTGAATTTGCATTAAGCTATTGCACACACCTCATCTGACTCTGGTGGCTCCAGAGCTCTTGACACACAAGTCTAAGCTTTTTATGTCTATCTGTTTGGGCAAGAAGTAGATGACGGCGTCTGAAGTCTGCCAGCGTGTCCCAGTTCTTCTTTAGCTCTGCTGCCCTCACGGTTCAGCTCCTCAGGTCAACAAAATCTTATAGCCTGCAGGCTGTACGAAAACGTCCCAAGAAATAAAGGCAGTATATCTAGTGGATTTTAAAACCATTTGCCAGAGTCAAGCTCAGTGAGAAAAGAAAAATCCAAGTTTCTCTTCCTGCCTGATATTATCTGTGGTCTATATCCTTAAACTGATGGCTCCACTGAAGTGGCTTTTCCAGCATTAGCTTGCTGTGTTATAAAGCCTGGCCAAATGCATTTAGTCATGGTTCATAAAAGAGATTTGACAGGTGATATGGTCGCTGAAGAGGTGCTCTGTTGAAGTAGAATGAAGCTTCAATCAACAGAGACATTGGAGGTGATTGTCTTCAGAAACATTTTTTGTTATATGCTGGTAGAAAGTCTCTTCACATCCCGATAACAATCCTTAAGTTAAGTGGTCTAAATGTTTTTTGTTTGTTTGTTTGTTTTAAGCTTTTACTTTATTTTGCTACATTATTTCAGGAAAAAAAAACAATATTGTAAATCTCATGTAAATGTGTCATTTTTTTTGTAAATAAGTAAATAAAAGAAAGATTATTAGAGTATGTTTTTCTACTTCAAAATTTCACATTTAATCATGTCACTTGCCTTTTCTTTGTAATTATTTGTGAAATTTACTTGCGATTTCTGTGAGAAGATTGTTTCGAACACATTGTTTTAGTGAACGATTTCACAGAAATATCTTTAAGATAATGCACTAAAATTTATTTTGATTTCATTATGCTTGCATGAGACAAATCTCAACAGATTACACTTCAAAAATTGCCTTTAAATATATACAAATATATAAGTAATTCACCTGACATTCATAGTATGATTTGCACACTGGACTTTTATGTAATTATACCAAAGTCATTCTACATGTAGCCATTTACAATCGGGTCTGTAAATGCAGTTTGTTGAAAGGGTAACTGCATTTCCTGCTATCTAGCTTGGAGTCAGTCATTACAGAACCTGTTTTCCAGTCCAGTCATGCACAAGGTTATATCTGCAAACATGAGAGGTTCAGGATATGGTTTTCCTTGACCTACTCAAAGGTTAAAATCTGTTCAAATCTGAGGATCCGCAGTGATGAAGGACAACATTTGGACGGCATCTTTCCAGGCTCAATGCTAATTCCAGGGTTAACAGGCTGTAAATTGCATTGCCACGACTACTACGGTGGTGGCGTCCACTCGGTTTCACATTCCATTCCAAGAATGCCAAACAGTCGAGCAGACATGAGACAAGGATCACAAGATGACCTCAGAAACAAGTCCAGGGCCTCTGGGCTAAGTAAGACCAAGTGGATCTTACCAGAAAAGTATCCTTAGCCAATATCCCAGTCTCAAAAAGCAATGTTGCATAAACCAACTATATTAATTAGACAAACTGGACATCTCATTCCATTAAATGACTTCAACGGATGTCATAAACCGTTTGCTGCCCAGTCCCATGCTGTCTACTATCCCTGAACCACAGAAAATATCAAAGTTGATTTCCCCTTCTGTCTGAAGCAAGCTCTGCATCTTAAAACAATTACCACTCCGAGACATTTCCAGAAAGATGTGTCACAGAGCAAAGGAAACAACCGAGAGCTATTGACAGTGTAACCAGCCTTGAAACAATCCCAAAATACAAATCTATTAAAATAACACAAAGCAGAAACGTCCCATGTGCTTGTGGTCAAACAGTGCACTTCATTTCACTTGAAGTACTGCAGAGAGATTTATGCTTACTCATATTTCATGGTGACTAATGATGGTGCATATTTCTGTGACACACACACACAAAAAAAGATCCTGC